AAATCTAAAGCGATCTCATTGATGGGGCAATCGCGTTCAGTGGCAGGGAACGGCTTAATCTTGTCGTACTGTAACTTGTTGATCACAGGTTGCACTCCATCGTCGGCATTTGCCAAATTGAAAAAAGCAATCGTACACAAGACCGTTGAGAGCATCCTTGTTCGAGATATTTGGAAGAATTGAGAATGAGTAGTCGATAAAATTCCCAATTGTATTCCCGGTGGTAGAGTTTTTGATTCAGTGCTGGTCGGACCAGATCCTTAACACAGGGATTTTTTGCAAAACAATTCAGATATCAGTCGCGAATGGAGAAAACACATGGTCCTTTTAAGGTATAAGCTTACAATAAACTTGAAGCATATTTCTTCAGCTCAATTACGTGATGGGTAATTTCATTTTACTGTCTGAAATATGCTGCTTAATAGCTGCACACTATCATATTTGCTCGTGTTGATCTTTCCAGCAAACCATTAAAGCTATTTTTTCACGCCGTATTCACATCTATGTGCCTAATTATATGGACACACGATGTTGACCTCCTCCTACTTAGAAGCGAAGTCTCATCCAATCAGAAGAATTCGGTGGCTGTCTGTGCGAGTTATGTTAGATCTTATTCAGCTCGAATAACATATACTGAATTAACATGGCAATCAAAGTTCTTGACTCTTTATGTCGGAATCAAAATCCATTCGAGTACCAGTTACCCAAGTTCTACTTGGAAGTATGTGTATTTGGCTAGCTACTGAGCGTTATGAAGCAGAATACGCTAAGACGTTTTTGGTTGAATTGTGAATAATTCACTAACACATTTTCAAGTAAAGATTATGTATGCACCATACAGTTTTGCACTAAGCTTATATACGGTACATAATAGCAAACTCAAAATAGTTTATAACTCGCTTTACAGCAAAACAATAGAGCGATCAATGAATTTATGGCTTTGCGCGTAAATGGTACAAGTGCCAAGATGCTTCACACGATATATCTAGAACAACGCCATAAACAACAGTACATTGCATTCATCTTACGCTTTTGGTACAATTGTATTCAGAACAAACCGTCAATTTGTACGAAATTCATTTGCAGCTTGTGTTAGGCCTACATTCGCTTAGGTCGGCATCCTACAATCGCCCACTTTCTGAATTGTTACATAACCGGATTCATCATATAATGCAGAGCAAATAAAATCATCTGGTGGTTGTTGTGCATGTTCTCACGTGTTATCGCAGAATACCCGCTCTGAAGAACCTGCCAAAGGGTGACCGATTCAAAATATTTGTTCCGATTTCAAGGGGGTCGATTCCATGATCGGACCTCCAAACCGATGATATCATGCAACGAACGATTATTCGCTTTTGCGCAGGTCAATGGCAGCTAAATCAGCAATCACCTCACTAAGGCCAGAGCAAGTCTCGTTTACACTAAAGTATGAATCGAGCACGAAAGCTTTGTCAATCTTTATAGAATTAAACAAAATCGGATTGGTCGTTGTCGTCATCGATGTACTGCTGCACTTCGTCGTGAATATTGACGTCTTCATTTATAACAACTGTGAGAATCTTTTGTGATGAGCAATATTGACAAGGATAGCTGCATCAAGACATGAAGTGGCTTGCCAAAGGTCACTCCTACAGCGCCGCTGTCGTTTTTACATCGCCGCTGGTAACTGCCCTCCACAGCTTTGAAAGCGTCATTTAATTAGCAATAAACTCCATTGTTCGCAAAAATTATACCGCCTCTTCAGGGCCACAATGATTCCCATGTCCATTGACTATTTCCAAGACATTGCCTCGAAAAAACACAACATTTGTTATAATCCGCCTAATCAGAGATCTTTCACCCTGTGCGTTGTCTAAAATGAATAGCACCTTGTGGCCGGTACATTTCTAATCGAAAGGCTCAAAGACCTCATTGAACCATTTGTTGAAGATCATAACATCTTTCCAGGCGTTTTTCTGCTGAGTGTGCGAATCAGCCAAATGTCGTCTGCAATACAAGCTGGCTCTTTTGCTTTGACTATTTTGAGGATTGACATACGTTCAATTGCAGTAGCGTTGCAGCAAATGACAACGGTCACAAGATTTTTGGCTTTCTTTTTTTTGGTTGAACGTCTGTCATGTTGTACGTAGAGGACAGATGGTGTTGGTCGATTACAGAGTCTAGCTCCTGCATAGCTTTTATCTATCTCGGAACTTTTTTAATCTGAGCACCTTCATTGATAATGAGAGAGCAAATCTATGGCAGAATCGGGCAAATCAACATACATAGCTTTGAAATTGTGTAGGGATACCTGATGTAGCGGCAATTGCTTTGGCCTGATGGCAGATAGTCATTGGCGGCAGAGCTAGCGCCATACGACAGTCGCCGTCGATCCAATCAAAAATCTTTCCCCAGTTTAAAAAAGTTTCCAGCGGTTACTTGGGCAGCTTTCAGCTTTTACAATGTCTTATTTTTGAAGTCATATTGCTTCGCTATGCTATTGCATGCAACCGGCCAAGAAGAGCGCTGATTTTCATTCTCTGACTGCCGGTGAGACGACAGCCTTCGCATCTGCGCTTTTTTTAGCATTGCTTACTCACTTGGTAAGGAGACCCGAGGTCGCTTACTGAACAAAATGAATTAAGCTTTTTTTTGATAATCCGAACCCTTTTAGTGCTAGGTCCGCATTCCAATTATTTCGGCACGACTGGTCTGATTGCAATTCACGGACTAAATTGCATGCGTGCTGTATTCATTATTGGTATTGAATGGGACGATGATGAAATTTTGAATAGAAGGGATCTGCACAGGGAGATCGGTTTGCACAGAAAGTGCCTTGACTTTCGATCTCCGCGTCAGCTTAAGCACAGATTATAGGTTTGTGCGCTCCTACCAGGAATGATTTGTTAGTTTGCTCTGCTATTGCAAGAGCACATATAACAAGATTTCTTGTAATTGGACAGATAGCAAATATATTCTCTTCACTGTACTTCATTGTAAAATCGTTTTCATCCCGTGACGCACGTCTAGTAGCCATCGTAAACCTCGGTTTTCTCCCGTCCAGATTCCCGTTATTGTTAAGAATATGATATTTTTGTATTTATGAGCTGAACGATTATACAACACGGTATTGTATCCAGTTTGATTGTACCAGATGTATAGGGACCAAAGTGCACAAGTTGCTCTGTTGCACTCCCTTCACAAAGACGTGGACCACACTGAAGATCAAACTCACTTTGTTTTTGAATTGGTATCTAAGCAAGATTGGCCGCTCCACTGCATCTGCTAACTCATTCCACTCTCTGCTATGTAGCATGTTTGACCTTCTCAGCGTGAATGGCAAGTCATCTCCAGTCCACCAGGGTACGTGACTCAACAGGATCCCACTTGAACACGGTATACGCGCTAAAGACATTATTAAAAATGACACCAACATATTATACGAGGGAGATCCCAAAACTAATCAAGTCCCAACTAAGCAACTCCGCCCTGACCCGGCGATACACGGCATATCTGTGTTAAAAGAAGAAAGCTCTCACTACGTTTGGCCTCTTCGCTGTACTGGTCTTGGAATCTGTAATTTTCTTTCTCGGTATGTTTTGACACCTTGTCGTGGGACAAGTACAACATGATCTCATATCCAAAAGAGTGGATCTGGCTCAGGATGCACAAGTTGCCTCACTGCAATCACAAGAATCACTCCAAATCGGGCCGGGATTAAGGTTCTTCCTTGCGTTGGTGCTGAGCTCATAAGCGAATATGTATGTAGAACTTTCGCATACGCCCAGAGCAAATCGAGTGCAGGAGATTTGTTTTCAATTGCTGTAGTCCCACCCATATACTGTCTGCACTTAGAGATGTGATGTCATAATCGTTGTACCTTAGGACAGAAAACTAGAGTTTGCGCCGCTGTCATAAGTACTAAGGTATTACACTCAGTAAGGATTGGGTGGGTTTATACGTCGCATCACCTGTTTGAAAGTTCTAGAAGGAAGCTATAGCAAAGAAAACATTTTTATGAAGCGCTTTCTCCTGCTAGACTTGCCACTGTGCAGTGTGCGATGTGGACGTCGAAGTTTCTATCACCACAAAACGTCTGTGCTGTTTGTAGCCCCGCTCGTCTCCATGAGACAGCTTTGACACTTATTGCACGACCAATGGCCTCTCACAAATAATAAGCGCTCGCTAAGTAGCAATATTTGCCTTCTCCATATGGAATAGAGGCTAAGGGTGTGCCTTGTCGGAAGGATCTACAGTGCCAGGCGATTCTGCCGATTCGAAGTCCGAAACTCGCACGAGCTCTCCGACTGATAGGAGCGGCTTCACAAATAGGTACATATTACAACCCTCGTGCACCCACTGACCCACCGAGCGTTACGCGTGAAATAAGAACGCCTCTTCCTCATCCTTACTAACCGTCGAAGGTCGGCCTTCTTGCGGCTGACTCTCGGATTTCTTTTGGTTGTGGTGGCATACTAAATTTAGATCTTCACAATGTGCATCTGAGGATGGAATGAGACGAATCTCGGATTTGCTACCTCAGTTTCTTCTGCGTATTTTCTCGTTACAGAGATCCTCAGCGGCTCACACATCGCTACATTGAAGTAGAGGGTAGCTCAGCTAAAAAGGATACTGGAAATGCTGCTCTGTCTGTAACGTTACATTTAACTACCTTGTTTGAGCAGTTTATAGGTTTATTAAGCCGACATAAAACAATGGATGTGCTCGCATTCTTTTCTTTATGTTCGGATTTGATCTCGATCAAATTTTTGCAATAGCCTGGTATGGCAATTGCAACTTAACCTTGTAGATCGCAGCCACTGTATATGTCGGTAAATTGGTTTCAGTCGATAAAACCGCTTGTGCCCAAAAATTTGTATACCTGTCGCCTACCGGCTAGATCGACATATCGATTATGTTAGTATTGGCTCTCAGATCAAAATTCTGATTTTGCTGCGAAGTGTAACCATGCCTATGTCTGCATGTCTCTTTTTATCAATGACCCCTTCTCTACTATGCCCGATCCACTTTGTGGTGATGTCAAATGTACCCGGATTTTACTAATGTAAAACTGAGTACCGCATGCATTGCGGGAGTAAAAACATTGCGTACGAGCAACCCCATCTCCTTGCGCAGGTAGGCTGTCTACAACGCGATACGCGTGCTTCGTGTGCCCGTATGTTTGCGGACAAATTGTAATTGGCGTAAACGAATCGGTGTCTGGCTCCTTGAGCAATCTTCACAAGGATACGGTAAAACACGGCTCTAAGCTCGATACAATGAATATACGGAAACGGTAAAACACGGCTCTAAGCTAGATACAATGACTATTTTAAAGCCAGATCAGAAATCTACTTTGTCTGGGAGCAGCACGGCTGAATCCTCACCAATCACATAATTGCTGGCTGCCAGCGAGATAACTCTTTTGTTTTTGATTGTTCACAACTATTACAAATTAGCGTTTCCCAGACGCGCCTTTTGAATGTCCAGAAACCGTGTGTGGGTAATCTGCCGGAGGTGTGAGCTGGTCAAAGACGCTGCCGCCTGCAACAAAGGCTTCGTCCGTCGATGCAGCGCACAAGTACGCACATTGTCTTATATATGTAAGATCACCAATACATAGTACTCATTTAGCCGCCCAGATGAGAACTGATACAGTAATTTGTATCAACCTATAATATTATGTGTATCCTGTGAGCCAGTGTATTAATACAGCGAGTCGTCGGAAAAATATAGCGGGTGAGGTGTGCAATTGCGCGCTTCGATGAGCGACAATTGTGGCTTGCTATTATCAACCCAAAACATGGTTACGACGTTACGTTCGCAACAACGCATGATATGTATATGCCATAAACGACTTAGAGCAAGCAGGTAGAGTCTGAATTCGACGAAAAAATCTAGTTCTTCGTCGAGTCGATTCTTCTGCACCCTGGCATAAAAAATTTTTAAGGAAGATTGGTGGGCGGTTGTTTCATATTGGTATTGCGGGCACTGTATTTGTGGGGATCGTTGGCTAGACCGCGTCACTTGGTTTTGTCCCGGTTGGTCAGTAGCACTGGTCAATATAAATAGACTCTTACGTTTGCAAGATCTGTCCGCGGGTCTTTCTTATGTCGTAGACCACTACGTCATTTCATCAGCTCCGAAACAATGTTTGTATTTATTGGCTAATAGATCTTCAAACGCATAGCCTGAACATCTCCGGCATATTAAACAGTCTTTATTTACATCAAAACCAGTTAATCCCGGAGCTTTCCGCTCGAAGCATCGATGCGATGACTAGGTTGTTGTCACTCATCAGCAGTTGATTTATACCTTTTATTTGGTTGTTAGTTTTAAGCAAAGTGCAGCTGACCATACTTTTAGCAGCACCTACGTTTTGCGCAAAAGTGTGGCTGAACATTGTTGGTAGTAAGTATGCTCTGTCTTAACGCTAACGTTAGCCTACTTCTCGGCGCCAATAAAAGATATTTACTTTTTCTCACCAAACCAGCTTTGGACAGAGCATCGAAAGAGCGTTCAAGACGTCAAACTGCTTCTTTAGAAATCACATCGAAGACGATCATGTTAGTCATCTGGGGTCGATTTTAGGTTGAAGGGCTAACATAATATCATGGAGCTCCCACTTACTTAAAAAATCACGTATCGTGGATCCCTCGTCACCAAGTCGTGATATATCTATCGCTTCACATCATCTGAGATTGGGAACACCTTCTTTGTTGATTTGTCGTGAACGCCCAGCGTTGCACGTGATATCTTTGCTTAGAGTTAGCAAATGTTTCGTGCTGTGGATCTGCTTGGGTGTCATTGAGATTGTCGGAATTTCTCGTTCTGTTACTTAAAGCTGGACGCTCAACATGAGCGTAATCATGGCCGGAATCGTCTGTTCCTTCACCAACGCTCGATTGGAGATCTCTTCGGCATATATCGTTGGCGTATTGTCAAAGCTGGTGATTCCTAATGTACAAATTATTTCCGCTTTTGACTCTTTTCTCGCCACTTTCTTGGCCCCCTCGAGATTCGAATTGGCCAAGCGCTTGTTTGTTAAATCAGTCTCTGTAACGCGAGGGTAAGTACTCAAATAATCCACACTTCATCTGGCTAAGATCGATAACAAGTGCAACTTAATGTAACAGGGTTGTAGTGCACTTTTCATAGAGAAGGCCTCAACTCAGCTTGTCCATATTGAAAAGCCCAAAGTTTGAGCCTTTACGCACTTACAAAATGCGGAGCCATAACCTTCATAGTATATAGCGTCTAGTTAGCGCTACAAATTTAGGAGTACATATTATCAGAATTGAATTTCTTAGAGTATCACGAGACATATGCATTTCAAGAACCAAGTCATCTTTATTTTCTGACGTACGTCTAGAAGCCCATGCTTACATTGAAGATCCCCTCAGCTCTGCTATGACAGCACAAATTTTGATATTCTATTCCTGCATCTACAATACAAACAAAATCTAAGTGTGATAAACGCATCTTACAACGTGCAACAGTGATGTATACAAGATTAAAGTAAGCAATCGCTTAAGTCCACGCGTTTTGAGCTCGCATCGTGGAATAGTCTGCGTTTTGAATGAACAAGAATCTCGATCGGCATATTGAAACAATCAATCCAAAATTGTGCAGAGTCATTTGCCGACATTTAGTGAAAAAAATATCTCTCTTGAAATTATCGAAACGGGTTGCGATAAGATATTCTTTGCCGATAGTATGTTAGTGAGCATTCCATCAAGCTTCCTTGAAACCAAAAATGGTGATTGTGGTAGATTCGCGCTGTCAGCAAATTATAATGTTGTGGATGAGACAATGTTTACAATCTCTTCGTTTACGTCAACTAAGGCCTCTAGAGAACTTAATAGAATCTTGGTCTGATTTTATTTTCTTCGCTTCGATTAAATTCAATGGACAAGAAAAAATGTACCCCCTTTTCCAATTTTTACGAACGATTAATAGATCATCAGTATTTAAAAGCATTCCTGGCCGTCCGGTGGCAAACAAATGGTGAAAAAAAAAACTAGTCAAACACAGTAGCGTCGACCATGTGTTATTCTGCATAAAATATGGTAATGGCCATTACCGCCCAGGTACAAATGCTGTTGCGATATTTATCCAAGTCATAGCTACAGACCCTGACTCAGTCTTGGACGATTGTATTGTAAAACTTAATTAGCTTGATTACGATGCGGACCTTGTATTACCACAGTTAGTAGTCAAAATCTTTAAAGGTCCACAAAACAGAACAGCTAGGCGGCGAACAAAATAGATAATTAAATTTCTTCCATGTTGTGGGTCATACTTCAAACTAAAATCATGACTTTTAATTTATACTGAAGTCTGAGGTTTGGATCATCGACACCACGTGATGAACGATAAAATGCAGTACACTTCCTGCACATACTTTCAGTTACCATCCACAACTCGCCAGGAAATTATCGCAATCAGACATCGTTTCGGCGATTTTTACTGCTGTACAATAACTGCTCAATGGAGAGCCGTTGGAATTCTTGAGTAAACTCGAATACCATAGGCTGTGGTCTCTCAATATGAAGGTCTTATTTATTATTGTGACTCCCGTAGGATTTGCCCGAGATTTTGTTTCTCGCGCTGCAGTCAAGACATTGAGATTAATTCTGCCATCGGCACCATACTCTCTCCTAGGCTTTGCATGAAGGCTTCTTGTCGGATAGCAGCCCATTTAATTGATAATTCTGAGGTGTTGGTCTTTGCTAAGACGCTCCCTTGCCTTCTTCTCTCCTCTGAGCAGCGTGGGAATTTGCAGACACATCTACACGCTATAAAAATGAAAATGCTGATTATAAAAGATGACTGCGATGAGCTTAGTTCACAGCTTTTGGATAAATTCGCACTAGATAGCCACGACCAAGGTGCGGACCTAATAAAATCGTGGATGTATAGCACGTGATTCAACACAGTTTGGCAGCACAACCCTTTCCGCCCACGCTTTCCCCTTTTTAGAAAGCGTCAAGTGTCACAGTGCTGTGACTGCATCCGTGTAGAACATAGTACAATGTGATATTGATAATAAACTTATCGCTGGCGTATTTTATAATGGGACGACATATAATTCATGTGAGCTGGTGACACATGTGCCAGGGCCGATGAAGAGAAAATTACTGACTGTTCAATTTCTTGCTGATAGAAGCGATAGATCTTAATACTGACAGTATGTTCAAACCTCAATCATCAAAAGGGCGCCTTGCATTTGTTACGATATAACGACTTTGCCGTGCCAGCTCTTCAGTGTGGTGATCTACCGTGTAAATCAGTGGAGATCCAGATGTCAGTGGTAACGAAGGTTTTCTCTCGCGAACATAGTAATCGGAATGGTCTTAGAAATTTCGAATCTCTCCTCACAGTCTCCTCCATTGGCTATTATTTACTAAGTGTAATCATTCCAAGTTAAATATGGAATGTGAGGATATCGGAAGTAGTACAGCTGGAACCGGAAGAGTAGCTGAGCTTGCCACCGCAATGAAATAATTATCATTAAGAAGGCTCTCAGATGTTGAGAGCAATTATTTAAACAGCTATCTTGAGGGATCCAGAAGACTATTTTATTATTTGCTGTAGTAACGTTATGACGTGGCCACGAGGGATCCAGCACGTGCGTAACTTTCGATTTAAGGAGTGCACGATGATATCGACTTGTCCCGTACTATATAGCGCAGCATATAGGATCGAAATTGACCATCGAGACTGTGTTGACAAAATGATCGTCGGTCGGGTCACTTTGAATGAAGTGAGATGAGGTCAATAACACTTTCC